TTTGGCCCCAATTTAGCTCTATAAGCTTTTGTTGTATGTAATTGTTGAATTAAAGGTTAACAGTAAAGTTTGAAAGTGGTATGTTTTGACCTAGAAGGAGACTGGACTTAAGAAGCATCCGACACTGACCTCTTCGTTGCACGTCTAGTTTTGATTCGTGACATGAAGAATAACTACACTGGATGCTGCAGTGCAGCCAACACTGACAGCTCAGTAAACAGAAAATCTACTTTTTACCATCTCCTTCCATTTAGTACAGTGTTTTCACAACTAAATGGTACAACATAGGCAAATATAAAGAATAATGTTGTTAATCAGCTGGCTATTAGTTTAATAGTCTCATTTACTGTGTCTATAAACTTGTCTGACAAGCTAAAACAAATCAGTAAACTGATGCAAAGTGAAGTTATTTGTATATAACATTGGTTAAATGTGTCATAAGTGTATTTATGAAAAGCCAAACTATTTCTACTTTGTTTTTATTCTTGCATGCTGCAGCACTTTATCTTTATCCATTATCTTGCCCATCAAAGTTACTGGACAATGTGTATTGAGTGTTCTTGTCAATATAACTAATCAGACGTTGACTTGCTGTGTAGATTAACCAATCAGATGTTAGCGTTGGTTTAAAGAGTCTCGCTGATTATTTTATTTTGCGAGTTTTGGAACAGGAATCATTTAATACTTACATTCAGAAATAATTGTATTTATATATGATGGATTTCACATTTAAATATTTGGATATGTATTTACTATTACTCTAACATTAAAATGGGTATAAATATAGTTATTCAGACATTTTTTGTTTTCCGGTATTATTTTGATAATGCCACAAGTAAAAAAAAAAAAGTTATTAATTATATAGTGACAATTTAAGAGCTAGATATATCTTTGTTTTTGTCTGTTTTGTTTTTTAAATTTGATTTCTCAGTAATTTGAACAAAAAAAATCTACTTGTGATTTGTTGAGTAGTAAATTATTATTTTAACTATCCAGTACTCTAATCTGACAGTATGTTTTTTTTTTTTTTTCTTCGTCTTATTCTTGGCAGCCATGAATGTTGTTCAATCATTTCCAAAATAAACCATCAGTTAAAATTTCAGGTTTATGGTTTTAATCTATTAACTTCCAGTTTTTTTTTTCCCAATTTAAAATGGTATCTTAAATCACAAAAAGACATTTTAGTTGTTTTTAAGCTAAAAGGCTCAACGATTATAAACAGCTTTATTTGTTTTCAAATGTTAGACTTGTGATCAAGATGATGAGGAGGTGGAGATCGCTGTGGACAACGCAGCCTTCATGGACGAGTTCTTCTCTCAGGTCAGGTTTTACGCTCTCGGTTGTTGTCGTGCAGGGACCTAACCTCTCTTACATATTTTTTAAAATTTTGTTAATTGTGACTCGTCTGTTTGCAGATTGAAGACATCAGGAACAGTATTGATAAAATTGACGAGAACGTGGCTGAAGTCAGAAAGCTTTACTCGGTCATCCTGTCGGCTCCCACGTCGGATCAGAGTGAGACATCTCACCTTTCACTGATTTACTGTATTTGTCTGCCCTGTTTTTTTTTTGTTTGTTTGTTTTTTTATACAAGCTGTTTGAACCTGGTTCACAAAAATAAGGTTACTGTAGTTTTTTTCCGATTTGTGGTTTTTGTTCTGAATTGAACTCTGTTACAATCTGAGCAGAAGGTGACAGAATATGGAATATTTCAGAAAATATCAAGCATTTTCATTTTCTCTGCATACATAATCTTTAAAAAAAAAAACTTCATTTCTATCTGAACAGCCCTGGTTTAAGACTAATTTTTTCTTCCCTTCAGAAACGCAGGATGACTTGGAATCAATCACCAATGACATAAAGAAGATGGCCAACAATGCAAGAAACAAACTCAAGAGTAAGTCTGGCAGTGACAATCGCACTTTCTCTCGTCACAATGAGTCAAACCTTTCCTGATTTTTATCCAAAATGTTGGATGACGTGTTTATGACGTGAATTTGAACGTTGCTTTTTTTTCCAGCCATTGAGAGAAATCTGGAGTCGGAGCAGCAGCAGGAGAGGGTGTCGGCTGATATGCGGATACGTAAATCGCAGGTAAATTGTGCACAGGATGAAGAATTTTCAGACTTAAAATAGTTACTTATAAAGCTTTTAAATAGGGCTTTTTAAATTCAAATTAAATTGTTTCATAGGGTTTAGTTTAGTCAAATATTCCAGCATATAAAGGTAGACTCCCACCCCCTGAAAAGTAAACAATGTGCAGCTGTTTCCAGGATGTTGAGAAAGGTTTGTGATCATAATTTGCATCTATTCTGTCCTCCCAGCATGCAGTGCTGTCCAGGAAGTTTGTTGAGGTCATGACAAAGTATAATGAAGCGCAGGTGGACTTCCGGGAGAGGAGTAAAGGACGTATCCAGAGACAACTTGAGATAAGTAAGTTACACCTAGATGTGCAGAAAAAAAAGTGTAGAATAATCCCATAATAATCTGTGTTTTTCACTTTGCTCTGTCCAGCTGGACAAGCGAAGACGGACGAAGAGCTGGAGGAGATGTTGGAAAGTGGAAATGCTGCCGTTTTCACTGCTGGGGTGAGTGTGTCTTGTGTGTAAATGAGCAATTATGGCCACTGTTTTAACACCTTTCTATTGTCATGTGATTAAACTGCAAATAAAATTGGTTTTGCAGTTTAAAAAAAAAAAAAGAAGCCAATTATTTGCTAATTTTTAGGTTTCTGATGTTTGGATAAAAGGAACTTTGTCTTTCTTGTTCAGATTCTAGAAAATATTTTCTACTCAAAATATGTTTATTTAAGAGATCATAATGCCGAGCTGGATGATGTTTTACATATTTAATAACCACATCGTAAAGATTCGAGAAAAGGAGTCATGCTGGTTTATGCCGTCTCAGCAAACAGATGAAACAGCGGTTTCTAGGGAGGCTTCTAGAAGGAAACGGAGTGACCGGGAACACCGAATCACGCAGCTTCGACTGCATGTGTCACTGATAAAATGAGAACATGTTGCACTTCAGCTTCTGTTCAAGCTTTTTGATAAAGAGGAGCTTGTTTTCGGCTCGACTGAGGAGGAATTTCTTGTTCAAGGACACAGAGTTCAGTTTAGGCTTCCCTGATGTGCAAAGACTGGGACAAACCACACCTAAATTATTACTATATCTTATTCCTATAATGTAAATGCACACCTGAGGTTCTCAGTAATTCATATGAAACTGTCAAACAATTGCAATAACAACAATAACTGGGAAATTACAGGAACTTTTTAGGATCTTAAAAAGCAACACAAGAACTGTTATGCTTATCAATTTAAAACATTTGGAAATTTATTTTGATATTGACATTCAAGAAAAAAAAAAAACTTGGATTCACACTTGATGACTAGATGTTGATGTTTTATTTGCTGTCTGTTTTGAGCCTGCGTGGTAACAGTGAACTGCTCGTCTTTGCAGATTGTGGACTCTGGGATCTCAAAACAGGCTCTGAGTGAGATTGAATCCAGGCATAAAGACATCGTCCGTCTGGAAAGTAGCATCAAAGAGCTGCACGACATGTTTGTAGACATCGCCATGCTGGTGGAGAGCCAGGTACTCTCCTCTGGATATCACCTTCTTGTCGTTTCATTCAAATCCATCCATCCGTTCTTTCAGCTCATCTTTACCGTGTCTTAGGAATCAGTCATGTCTGTCTCTGTGTTTTTCTCTTTCTTCCTCTGCTGTTCTATGACTGTCGTTCTGCATCCGTCTGTCTGTCTTTTTTCCAGCTCCATGCTTTTCTTACACCTGTCCTCCGCCACCACCGCCTTCATCTCATTCCCTCTATGGAACCTTAATAAATGTAGTAAGATATGAACCAAGCATCATTCACACCTATTTCATCACAGACAAGGTTTTAAGACATTTAGCAACTATCATAATTAAACTACTAGAGTATGACCAACTGTTTTGTGCTGCTTACACCGCCATGCTTTCTGAGGGAAATGCTTGTTTGAGGTAAGCACTCTTTGTGTTGCTTATGTTTTTTCCCCTTTTATTTATGTTCACTTTTGGAATTTGAAAAGATTTTGCTCTCAAATAAATAAATAGCCGACATTACCACTTGCTTCTAAAGGGATATGAACTTAAAATCCCCAATAAATACTTTGAATTACTTCAGTTTCAATTAAATTTCAAATAGTACTATGCAGTCCCCTTAATTTGATGTGTTTCCTTTAGAAAAAGCCATTTAAAGAAACCAGTAAGCTGCATTGAGTCACTTGCTTTGCAGCAAACCGTCCCTCCTGAGCCAACATGTAGCGACGGAGGACGGTTGATTGCGTAACATCATTCATTTGGCATGCATGTGGTAACAGTGAAAATGAAAGACTCTTTAGATGCCATCACTACCACATTCAGATCCATCCACCTCAGTATTACTTCCTGATTTTTTTTTTCTATGCAGATTGGCAATCAGATGAGTAGGAATGTAGCTTATGAAACTGGTGTGTAATCACACTTTACAAAGTTAGAATGTTTTTTTTTTTCTAAAAGTAGCAGAGAGCATAATGCATAATAAATACAACAGTAATATTTATTTTGCTTGTATTTTATTGACATATTAATTCTTCTAAGCAGCACATGCAGAATTTGATCTTCATTACATTGAGCTTTTTTTGTCATCTAAATAAAAGACAAGGTTGTGAATTAACCTTGTCTCAATGACATGATGCACTTAGAAAATGTTTAATTACCACCTTTTGCTGCAAAAGGTGGTGATTTTACTTTTGGAAGCTCTCATTGTTTGCTATAAATTGAATTGGAAAAAAAAGAATTACCTGATTTCAATCTGCAGTGCATCACTAAAGATCCATCCAACGCATTAATTATACCTTTCAAGTTATAAGTAATCGTTTTCATAAAAGGAATAAATTCGTTGGAGTTAATGAGCTCGATCCGCCTCGCACTGAGGCAGTTATTTGTACGAGTATAATGAGTTTTACAGGCTTTTATCTGCCATGATGTCGGTTATTTTTAAATCCTGATGCTTCCTGCAGAAATTCAATCTTTAACAGAAATGTTTTTTTTTTTTGCTGTTCTCTTCACAACAGCAGTGTTTAAAAACTCTTTGCCTCTCTCTGTGCTTGTGCATGCACACACACATACCTGCTGCCAGTTTTGAGCAAGCTCTTCATCGGTGGCAACATGTTTTAGCTCGCTCTTGAAGAGGAGATGTTTCAAGTTTGAGATTAGACTGCTGGCGATTTCAGCTGTAGTCTTTCACATCTGTACTTGGGCATATGCAGCATGATCTTGCTTTACAGAACTCTAAAAACATTTTGATCTTTCATCACAAAAAAAGAACAAAAAAAAAGAACAAAAAAAAACTGAAGCCTCACAGTTTGCAAAACACAGACGTGTCAATGCCAAAACTTGTGACCACACGTTTGCTTGATAGATATTAAAATGCATGTTCCTGTGTTTTTTTGTTTTTGTTTTGTTTTTCTCAGGGGGAAATAGTAGACAACATAGAGCAGAATGTATCCCAGTCGGTGGATCACATTATTCAAGCGAAGGAGCAGACCAAAAAAGCTGTAAGGTACCAGACCAAGGCCCGCAAGGTAAAAAAGTGTTTTGCAATGTATCGCACAAATATGACCTCTTCCTGTTGCTGCTTCTTTTTTTTTTTTTTTTAAATTTCAGTCACTCTGGCACTTTTGCCCAGTTTAGCACATTTCATCCACTTTGCATGCCCTGCATATCGCTCTTCTAATCGCCTCACTGCCATTACTACTTACACACAACCGTTAGAATAATGTGTAAGCTCTCTGCATGCTTCCTCCTCTCTGCCGTCACTCGTTTCCGTCTGCTGCCGCCTCTGGCTGCGTGCCCGTCAGGGCGGGATGATTGACAGGATTGAGAGCAACATGGACCAGTCGGTGGGCTTTGTGGAGAGAGCTGTTGCAGATACTAAGAAAGCTGCCAAGTTCCAGCAAGAGGCTCGCCGTGTGAGTGGCTGTGGTCAAGAACTGCAACTCCGGCTTCCTAAAAGCACCCGAAACATTTGAGCTTATTAACGAGAGGCGTCGACTTGTTAAAAAACGTCAAATAAAAGCATTCGATCTCCACGAGCATCAAAGTAAAATAGTATATTTCAAATCTGCATCAAAACGTCATGGTAACCGGTTTCTGGCCCTCATATCTAGCAAACTTTACTGTCAGCAAGAAGATATTTTAAGTTTATAAGGTGTATTTTATGTTTATTTGCAAAACTAGAGATTGAATTAAAAGTGCACCCATTGCATGTGAAACATAAACTTTCCTTAATCAAGTTATCTTCATATTGAAATCGAGCTGCAGCTGCATAAAAATATTTTTGTCTAGTTTATTTATCAGTTTTTTCTTATAATAAAACTGCATTAGATTAGCATGCTGTTTATTTCAGTCGTATACCAACGTTAATGAGCAGCACAACTAAACCTAGAAGCTCTGACTGAAAAAATCAGTTTGATGTAGTTTAGTTTTACTAGTGTTGAACCTTTATTTCTTTTTAAATTAAACAGTTTTCTACAGTTGCTAAAATCGTACATCAATTTCCACAAATAAACTATTTTCCAAATTGTCAGCCATTTATTTCTGTTCATTAATAAAACAACTCATTTCAATCAGTAGAGGCATCTTAAAAAATAAGTGTATCGACTTTTCAAACACCAGTTAAATCTGATATGATTCCCAGACTAAAGCAAATATAGATGATTAAGAAATTAAGTTAGTACCACTAAACTACAAGAAACTACCTGTTGACTAAATGAACACCTCAGTGCTTTTGGGAAGCCACATTAATTTCATGAGTGAGATCTGTGACGACCCCTGACCCTCCTCTGTGATTTATTACCAACTCTGTGGATCCCTGTGATAAAACTGCTGCTGTGACCCGTCCTCCACCCATGACCAGAACCAAGACGATCCTCCTCCCACCCACTGAAACACACACTGCCACTCACACACACACTGCTTGGTTTATCTTTTCTCTTTTTCCCGCCTTTTCGTTTTTAACCTTGCTGATGTTTTTGAATGTGACTAAAGTGCTTGTCTGTTGATGCTGAAGATATTGTTTGCTTTTACCAGCACAAGCATTCGTGTAGGTGAAAATAACTGTACAGATTTTTTTTTTTCGCAACGTCCAGCTACGTGGCGATTTGTCTGCTTTTTTTTTTGTTTGTTTTTAAGTAATTTTCCAACTGAGATTTGGATCTGATCAGAATGTGTGTACTTGGTTATTCCCAACAGAAAACTGTGATTATAGTGGTTGTTGTGGTGATCTTACTGGCATTGCTAGCTCTCATAATTGGGCTGGCAGTGGGATTGAAAAAATGAGGAACTGTTTGACTAAAAGAAGAGATGTTGGTGAGTAATTTTGGAGAAAATCTTCAGTGTAGTGCTGTAACAAGTGGGAATGAAGCATGCTTTGGCAAAGCGGTTTCTTTTAGACTTGAATGAGTGTGTTTTCCGTCTGTCCTGGGAGCTCATTTGTTGTGTGTGTGTGTGTGTGTGTGTGTGTGTGTGTGTGTGTGTTGGCATTTCTGGACTCTGTCAAATAACTTGGTGTTAGTGGTGAGTTGGTTTGATCTGCGGGGGATTTAAACGCTCCTGCTCTCTGTCACTAACTCTCCCGTCGTCGTGTCTCTGTCTCTCCCCTTCTGTAGAAGATGATCTTCATCGGTGTGTGCTGTGCTGTGGTTGTAGTCGTCATCCTCATTATCATCCTCACTCAGACACTATGATAGGACCGCCGGACCCCTACCATCGCCGTCATGTGTTTTCTTCACCCAGATCGTCCATTTTGTTTCATCATCTGCTCAAAAAATCACCTGATGCAAATTCCTGTGTAGGGATCAGTGCTGCTGGTGTTTAAAAAAAAAAAGGGGAAGATGATCTTTTGCGACTTCTTCAGTTCCGGACAATCTACGGATGCTCTGATGAGGAAATGAGAACTGAAATGCGGCTCAGTACCTGCTTACACCTCTGTGGAAGCAACAAAAAGGGAACTGGGAAAATAACTGACTGTTTCCTCATCACTCCTCCATCTCCGAACAACTCATTGTTTTTAACATTTGATGCCAAAATGGCACCCCTGTGTGTGTTTGTCCTAAGCTCTTCTTTAAACCATGCAGGAGCAAACACACACACGCACATACAAACCCCAGATCCACTCTTCTTGCCTTAATGAGCCTTGACACATATTACTACTTTAAAAGCTACTGAATGTTTGCTCCTCCAGGTTATGGTTGTTTTAAGAGAGTTCCAGCACTTTCACTGTTAAAAATATTGAATTAAGCTACGGTTTACGTAATTATGTTGTAAATAATAGAAGTCATGTTTGTGCACTGTTGACAGTCTTGTAAGAAAATGTTCCTTTTTCAGATATGAAGGACGACATATTTCAGCAACATTTGAAAGAAAAGGGCAACAAGTAATCCATTGTCTTGAGATGGTGCCTTAAATTTAATCTTGGCAGATAGAGTGTAATAGAAACTGTTAATGTGCTACCAAAGAGTTTGCAGAGACTAGAATTAACACTAGTAAATATTTTTTTTGATTTAACAAGTTTTTACATATAAAAGGGACAACTAAATCATGAGGAAAGTAACAACTCCTTTTAGGTGTATTAAGTGATTGTTTCCACCGTAAACGTACGGCTAAGCTACCAGTTTATGAAGTGTATCCATTCATTTTCCTCTTAGAATGATGTGCAGAGCCATTTTTTCTTCATGTTTATAAAATTATTTTGTCACCAGATAATTTACAAAACACTTTGATGATCATTTTTATTTATATATGCATGAATTGAAATGAAAAGGTAACATCATGGAGCTTCTATTTTAATTTAAAATATTGTATAATGCGGTGAACTTCATAAGCTGGTAGTTAAGTTGAATGTTTATTGGTCACCATTATTTTTCTCTGTAGATAATATTCCAGACTGACAGTTTACAAAACATTACATTGGCTTTAGGACTTACAGTAAAGAAGGTGGTTGTGTGCATATGAAGGCGAGATGTCATTTCAGTCAGTCAACAGGAGCCAAAGCATTTTTTTTTACAAGATTCTGTGTCTTTACACTTTCAGGAAATACTTGAAATCAGCGTCCAGCATGATTTTTTTGTGGCCATGCAGGTCACCGAAGGAAGAGCGGGGAAAATTAAAGCTTGTTGCACATTTCTTATGTCAAATATTTCAAAAGAATTAAAGATTTGTTAGTTTTTTTCTTAAGTCTGACTGTTTGTGCTGCTGTTTCTGAGTCTCAACCTAAAATATACAATGAGTAGTCAGACATATATTGGGATTTCATATAAGAATTCAAGTCAAAGTAAAACATATTTGTAAAACTAAAGCAAAATAGTGCATGATTTAAAAAAAAAAAAAAAACCTGGAAACTATGATTTGCATTTATTTTCAACCTCCCAGAATCAACACAGTAAGTATTTGAAGATATGTTTCTACCAGCTTTGCACATCTACAGACTATAATTTTTGTTCATTCTTTACAAAATATATCAACCTTGTTTAGGATTTAGGTCTTGGCTTTGACAAGGCCAGTCTGACACAGATATGCTCTGATCAAAACCACTTCCCTTGTAGCTGTGGCTCGGTGTTCAGAGTAGATTTCCTGCTGGTAGGAGAAGCTCCGCTCCAGTTTCAAATCTTTTGCAGCATCTAACTTTATATTTTATAACCTCCATCTTTCCATGAACTTTGACCAGCTTCTGATAATTGTTGATGCCACCAATCTTAATCACCACGCAGTTTTGACCAAAAGTTTGGCCTTAAAGTTTCAGTATTCCTAGACTGTCAGTTAAACTCGGTGGCTATTTTGTGGAAGGTTTGCACTTGTGCTATTCTTATAATTTATTTAATGATGGATTGTGCAATGCTGTCGGCCTTCATATTACACACAGGTGACCTCTGTTGGTTTATTCGAGAAGGCAACTGGTTGCAGTTTTTTAAGGGCTTAAGACTTTTGTTTTGTAAAAAAATAAAGTATACTCTTCGTTTGCATTTGTGCACCACTCTGTGTTGATTCACCACGTGAAATCCCAATAAATTGCACTGAAGCTTGTTGATAAAATTTTGAAACGCTAACAGGACGTGAATACTTCTGCAAGCCACTGTAGCTGCATGTGAATAGTTTTGATGACTGTGTTGTGGAGAAGATGTGTGAAAGTGTTTTCTCTTGACCGCTGTGTTAAAGTACAGTTTTCAAAGACTTGATATGCGGAAGTGAAGGTAAGTTGCACCACCTATCTTCTATAGCATACAGATACACACATCGTAATCTGGCCCTTTCTTCCCCTTTGCTGCATCATTTCCTCTAACCAACTCCCCTAGATATGCAAACACTTGTATTTTGTTTCTTCTTTAACTTTCTTGTGTGTATTGTAACTCTCCAGAAAAAGATGATGATTACATTGTGCTGTGCCATCATTGGGATCGTTGGGTTCTCCTATCTCTACAGTTTCTTCTCATAAAAGATTTTGTGCAGGTGAAACATCAGTCTGTGATCATTTTTACTTTTTACATGGTGCTTTGAATGTTTAACCTCTCTTCTTCTGTCTTTGTGTTCTTCCTAGGAATAGAGATCTCCAGGAGAAAACCTTTTTTTTTCCTGTGGTTCTTACCCAGTTTCTGTCATTTAAATTTGTAGATTAAATTTAAGCCACTCTCAAATAAAAAAAACCCACTGCTTTCTTACCCTTTCTCCCTTCCCCTCCGAGTCTCAATTGAATGTCTGTTCTTGCTGTATAAAGTGTTTGAAAACGTGTTATGTGTGGATTTTTCTCAGTCTGCCTCCACTTAGACAGATGGCTCAACATGTGACTGTTAATCTTCACGCATCGCTCTGTTCAGCTTTAGTCCAGCGCCTCCTGGTGGTTCTCTGAACAAATAACCATTGTGAACATTGTATTTATGAAGAAGTGACTGGGAATGTCATCTAAACTTTACAAAATTTTGGGTTTTCTCTGCCTACACTATAAAATGTTTGAAGCAGATCTGCGTTATTATATCATTTGTGTGTTATAAATGTGATTTTTGTGTGTATGAGTCCATACTGCTTAAAAAAAGCTTGTTAACTCTATAAAGCCTGTTATGTAATAAAAGGAAATCTACAGTGAACCAAGAACCGTGCATGCCTCAGTCCTTCAGTGAATCATTTGCATCAGCTGACCATACGTGCGGAAGGGAAAAAAAAAATATTATATATATATATATATATATATATATATATATATATATATATATATACTTGTAGCATTGATCATTTGTGCAGATCTGGTCCAGCTGATGCTCTGTTGTTTGGCCTCCGGTGAGCCTTCTGACCTAATTTCATCCCCCATCTCGCCGCTGCTCAGAGGCCCCGCCCATCTGCTCGACCTGGAGCGGGGTGCGTTCGTTTTACTCATCCGGATTTGGAGGATAAACTGGAAGGGTCAAAATTATTAAAAAATGTTAAATGTCCTTTTTCAGAGAATAAAAAAGACAAACTTTTTTAAAAAGTAAATGCAAAAGAGTACTCAGGGTTGCTTTGTGAATTTCATAAGTGAGAGTCCTAACTATTTATATTAAACAGTAAATTTGGAATAAAATTTAAAGGTTTGATTCTGTAATCTTCAGAAATACAGACGATGTAATGATTTACTCATTCATAAAAGAGCGTCCAATATTAAAAGATCATGCAAGGAGATTAAAACTGTGATTTTTTTTTTTTTGGCAAATTCTATGATTATTTTTCCACCATTTTTCAGAGTAATATTTCAGTCATGTAAATCTCGAAATATTTCCGATATCAAACTGATTTCTGAACGTTTTTTTTTAAAAATATAATGTGTTTGTATACATTTATTCATTTATTTTAATCTACTTTCTTTGTATTTTGTTAATATATTTTTTCAGTAAATTACATTATGCGTTTTGACGCAGCTAATTTCTCAGATTAAAACTATCGTTAGAAAATAACAATTTTTAAGTCTGTATTGTTTTCATTACATCCACCATTATTAAAAATGTTTTATGATGGTTAGATTTTTAAATTTAGTATTTTAATTTGCTGTAAATCGAAACTCGTCAAATGATATATAGTTTTTGTTTGTTTTTCTTTCTTTTGTTTGTTACTTTCTAATCAAAATTACTGTCGAATCTGATCCGGACGTCAATGAAACAAAGTAACCTATCCGTCAGCCGGTGAATAAATAAAACACTCCTGTATGTTAATGTATTGTAATAGCTTTTTAAATAGCACCTGCTGTGTCCAATGACGGAAGCTCATGCTAATCTCCAGTCTGGTGGTGAACAGGGAAGGGGGCGGGGATTAAATCTTTTCCTTTTTGTGTGTGTGTGCGTGAGTGTTTGTGTGTGTTTTCTAACCAGCTGAAAATGGCGGCGGCCCGGACCGTCGATAGCTCCTAACTTTTATCGCACAATAACAAACACCTCAAAAATACTGGGCTTTTTTCCACATAACATGGGGAGAAACCGTATCCAGAGGCTACAGACGCGTTAGTCGGGACACATTACTTCCACCACACCGTCTTAGCGGAGTTTAAACATAAAGGTAATGATGAAAAGCTCCCAACTACCGTAGACGGGCTAGCGACAACTAGCTAGTTAGCATCATTTATAGCCGACGACCTAAGAACTGTATTGTCAGCAAAGCTAGTTTGCCCGCTCAGCTGACGTTTGGTTTTAGCGACACATATTAGTTCATTAACTATGTTGCTGTCAGTTTCGACCCTTAGCAATTTGAAAAATAAGAATATATTGTAGACAAAACCAATCGTGTGATGCTAGCTTTAGCTCGCTGGCTAAGGCAATAGTAGCAGGCTAGAACTAGCAGTGAGCCCCGGCTCAAATAGAAGACTATTAGTTTTAAAGAAATATGTGACATTATAGCAATGCCTTTGAGCGTTTAGTTTGCCCGTTTTAGAGATTTAACTTTATTCCTCTTTTGCAGACTATGGAGGATCCTCACACACGGTACAGCAAACGACTGGTAAGTAACTTAGCCAAGATGCTACCTCTCCTAAACACTTTAGTTGTTTATAATACGTCTAAGATGCATTTGCTGCCCTGCATATATATATGTAGCCGTATTCTGCTAGTAATTGTGAAACCTTTGTGTGGTGTGTTTGAATGAAACGACCGGCTTCTTTTGTGCAACTGACTCCAAGCAGAAGCCTCTCTGTTTTGGTTGTAATGAACTTGTTTAAAGACCCTGGGTTCAATAGAAGGTCAAGTTCACCATCTACCCTCATAGCGTTTGTTCAGCGACCTTGTTTCACCCTTTTTACAACCCTTTTTTCTTTCAGATTTAAAGCAATAAGAGTCCACCTGGACAATATATTTAAAAATATTTATCTTAATAGTTTCTGGACGGGGGGTTATTAAACATCATTTTAGAAAGCTTGGAAATATAGGGTTTTTTTCTGTTGACTCACTTGTTCAATTTCTCAAAGAGTTTAATGTAATTGCAAGTTAAATTGATGAATAACACTTCTTCCTGTTTGTTCCCTTTCTAAATTTTAGCATAATTAGGCAGTTCTGGTTTGATTGCATTGTATGTTGACAGTTTCTAAGAGTGGGGAATGCTCTTCATTCTTAAAGCAAATTTAAGCTTAAATAATAGTTTATTTGGTGTGAGAAAAGCACATATTTGGGAAGGGGGGTGGAGGGATTTAATCCATCTGTCTGGCCAAACAGTGCTTCATGTGGGAGGGGGGCTCGAAGGGGGCAGTGTGTAGAAGATTAACTCCTGCCATTGTATTATGGTAATTCTTTGTGTGCAACATGAAGTGATGCCGCAGCTGGTTGAGTGATCTCAGGCGAATTGATTTTTCGTCTTCATCTAGAATTACAGTCCAAGACTAATCATGATTTTAGAGAAGATCAAAAACAAGCTTTATCCAGTATCTTTGCATGTGCTGTAAGTAGGTACGCTGCTATCGGTTTGTCTGTGCTTGATGTTTTTGCTAGAAATACAGGATCAAGCTTGTTCTGACAGTGAGTTATGGTTTCCTTTAAGGGATGAGCTGCATACTCAGATTTTGGCCAACTTTGTGTTTGGGTTTTTGATGACAGAAGCACCTTGGAGAAGCATACATGGAGAAAAATGTATGCTGCGGGTTCACTGGCAGAGGGAGTAGTTTTGAACTCAAAAGAAAATAAAAAGCTTAAAAGGATATACCCATTTATGAATTAAAGTGGATGTTATCTGTTTTTA